TAGCTTAGCAAGAAAAAGTTCTCAACAAGGTATCTGAGTTAAAAGGTGAACAGTAGGAAAACAAATAGGCCAGATTTGCTGAGCAGTTTGAAGAAAGGCTGCAAAATGTAGCCTCCTTATAGACATCTTTCATCACATGAACCAGCTGAACGAGTCCCTATAAGAAGCTGGAGAAAATGTTTGACTTCAAGTGACAAGAATCTTGCATTTCAAAGGTAACCAAGTATGTCTTTGGAAATAATTATGTTACAACAGAAAACCTTAAAATGTTCACCTTTTGCTTGGGCTTGATAGTGAGGAAAGGTATTTTTAAGTCTCAAGTCTAACTGGCTGCAATCTGGAAAAACTATAGGAGAAAATTAAGTATTTTTCCTCCCTTTCAACACCAGAGTATGATTAGGTAAGGGATCCTTTCTCTGAATCTCTGCTCAGCCAGAGACTTTGACTCTAAGAGCTTTATAGGTACAATCTGACTGTATGCCAGAGATGAGACTTAATGCCCTGTCCCTAGAAAAGTTATGGATTTCTACAAAGTGTCCTGTCATTCACTTGAAATCAGTAACATTTCACTGCAGTTTCAACATTCTTCATGTGTAAGCAAGCTTTTTCTTGTTTAACAAGCATGAAGACCAAGGGCAGAAATTGCCTAATTTCAAAACAAAATGAATCTATGTAAGCTTATCTTAAATTCAACCCACAATTGAGTATTTGTAAGGGGGTGGGGAGGAAAAAAGCAAACAGATTTTACAGTAAAGAGGTATATTTCATCATTCCTTTTACCTCAACAACAGCATTTTAATGCATATACACAGACCTACAAAGACTTAAAGAATGCTGGGTGTGGTGGCTCAAACCAATAATTCTAACAATTTGGGAGGCTGATGTGGGCAGATCACTTGAGGTCAGGGGTTCAAAACCAGCCTGGACAACATAGTGAAACCCTGCCTCTACCAAAAACACAAAAAAATTAGCCAGGCATGGTGGCAGGCGCCTATAATCTCAGATACTTGGGAGGCTACGGCAGGAGAATTGCTTGGATCTGGGAGACGGAGGTTGCAGTGAGCTGAGATCGCACCACTGAACTCCAGCCTGTGCAACGGAGCTAGACTCCATCGCAACAACAACAAAAAAAAGTAAAAATAAACACAGCCATATAATTTTCTAAATGCTAAGCCCACATCTGAGCCTGATATATCACACACAAAGAAAGTTTGTTTTCCCCCCCAAAATCTTGTATAAAAAGGTGTCTTAGGCTGTATTTGTACTCATATTTTTTCAGCCTACTTTTAGAAAAACCAAGTCCCATTTTAGCTTAAGCCAACTATTTCACAGAAATGTTTTACAGTTACTTGCCTTTTAAATTTATGAAAGAGATTAATCTCAAGTTTACCCATTTCCACCCTTTGTCCTCAAGAAAAGTTGAATAAAAAGTCATTTTTGGCCAGGTATGGTGGCTCACGCCTATAATCCCAGCACTTAGGGAGGCTGAGGCAGGTGAATCACAAGGTTGCGAGTTTGAGACCACCCTGGCCAATATGGTGAAACTCCATCTCTAATAAAACACAAAAAAATTAACTAGGCATGGTGGTGCATGCCTGTAATCCCAGATACTCAGGAGGCTCAGGCAGGAGAATTGCTTGAACCCAGGAGACGGAGGTAGCAGTCGGCTGAAAATGCGACACTGCACTCCAGCCTGGACGACAGAAAAAAAGTCATTTTTCTTTTAAAGAAAAAATGTTTTTGAACATACAATATAACATACCTTATTAGCATTATATACAGTAGAAATTTGTGATAGAGAGTTTTGTTTAGGTCTTAGATTTAAAAAAAAAAAAAAACAGAAAAGGTAAATAAAGTTTCTTCTACTTATACTACTAACTGCATTACAGTTATTATGAAGAGGGAAAAACCACACACAAAAAACAGTAGGCTAACAAACTGACCAAAATAAACAGGTCCACGAAGAAAAACCACCATTTACTCAAAAACACAAGGGGTATTTCATTGCCTTATAATATCTACAACTTTCTGATTACACTAATTACTGTAAGCTATAGATTTATACAGACCTGAGAGAAAATTACTTTGAGGTTTATTAATTTTTAATAATAAAAATTATTCCATTTGGGAGTCGCAACAAAAAGAACCTAAAGGGGATTGAGCTCCTCAACTGGAATGTGAATTTACATGAAATATAGAAGACACAGACACTTCTGAAACTACACTGCAGGATATAATTACAAAATCCAGACAAGGAGACATACAACAGGACAAATGACTCGGTTTCTTAAAAGAGTAAAATAAATTGCTAGGGAAGAGAAAGAAGAGATTTTTAAAAACCTTTATAAGAAGGTATTTAAAAAAACTTGAGACATTTTAATCAACCACAAATCTGTGAACTTATTCTGATCTGATTCAACACAGAAAAAGTAAAAGAAAATATTTATGACTATTTGGTGAAGGAATTACTGCTAATTTTTAAAGATGTGAAAATGGTATGGTAGCTGTGTTTCTAAGAAAATAACCCTTAGCTTTTGGACATATGTGATGAAATATTTACAGATCAGGTAACATAATGTCTGACTTCTGCCTCACAACAATAAGGAAGAGGAAAGTGGGTGGGGATACACATGAAATAAGACTGGCCATGAGTTTGTAATTGTTGAAACTGGGTCATGAGTACTCATTATACCTGTCTACTTCTATATGTTTGAAATTTTTCATAACATATTTTAAAAATTCACAAAATGAGTTAAAAAAAATATATATCCACAAAAGGCCATGTATGGAGGCTCACGCTTGCAATCCTAGCACTTTGGGAGGCCAAGGTGGGCAGATCACTTGAGGCCAGGAGTTTGAGACCAGCCTGGTCAACATGGCAAAACTCTGTCTCTACAGAAAATACAAAAATCAGCCAGGTGTGGTGGCAGGTACCTGTAGTCCTAGCTACTCGGGAGGCTGAGACAGGAGAACTGCTTGAGCCCAGGAGACAGAGGTTGCACGAGCCAAGGTCATGCTACTGCCTGCCAACCTGGGCAACAGAGTGAGACTCCATCCCAAAGACAAATAAACAAACAAAAACTCCACAAATAAAAAATATTATCAAATATAACCAAAGGACTAGCATCCAAAGTAAAAATCTATAAACCAGTAACAAAACACCAATAATGAAAGAACAGACTACCTAATTTTTTTTGAAACGGTCAGAAATTTAAACAAGGGCTTCACAAAAAGGCAATCCAGATAGCTAATACCTCAATGAGATGGTATCACACACCCATCAGATTTAAAAAAACCATTTAAAATGTCTGGTAATATCAGATGCTGACAAAGACTTAAGGCAACTATAAACTTACACATTGTTGATAAGAGTGCAAACTGGTACAACACCATTGAAAAATTATTTTTGCATTATCTAGTCATGTCAATGATGTACATATCCTATGACCCAGCAACTGCACTCCTAGGTTTATATCCTAGAGAAATGAGTGTACAAAGACACCAGCGGACATGCACAAGAATGCTTATAGCAGTACTCTTCACAGAAGCTCAAACTAAAACAATCCAAATGGCCGGCCAAAGTAGAAGAGATAAATAAGTCTGGTATATTTACAAAATGTAATTACTAGCAACAAAGTGAATGGACTGCAGTGACACACACGATGTGGATGGATTTCAAGCATAATGTTGTGAGAAAAAGAAAATAAATAATATAGCCAGTATAACACTAATTATATCATGCTCAAAGCCAGACAAAACTATATGGTATAAGGATATACATATAAGTATTAACGCTATAAGGAATAAGAAGAAAATGATTACCGTGAAAGGAAGAATTAGGGTTAGCTCCAGGAGGAAGGAAGGGAGTTAAGTGGGTGGAAGTTACAGGGTATTTGCTTTATAACAATCTTCAAAACTCTACTTTTCTGCATGCATACTTCTCAGTTTTAAAAGACTGTTAAAATGGAAGAGACTGTAAGGAAAAGCACCTTTTCTCATGAAACTACTTTAGAACATGCTCTCCAAAATGAAACCATAAAGGGAAAAAGACTACAACACAGGATCTAACACATGATAGAGAATCAAAGGAAATCCCCTAAGATGATTTTAAAAGAAGCCTGAAGAACTAACAGTTCAGATTAGAACAGGATTAAAGGCTCCAGGAAGATAGTCTGCAAGGGAAAAATAGAGGGAAAAAAAAACTTGGCAGACTACCTGAGTGCTTTCAGTCATGAGAAGCAATGTACAGTGTGAATGGAAAGCAAGGGAATAAGTAAACAACCGAAGGAGTAAATTATTACATCTAAGGAAACACTGCAAACACTCTCCATAGTCACAGGAGTATGAACACTGAGCGATCTGACTGAAAGGTAATAGGAAGATGCAGGGAGGGAAGGATAAGCAGGAGTGGGAGCTTAGTTAAGCTCAATCTTCATCTTTCATCGCAGGAATTCAACAGATCACAAACTGAAAAGTCCAGAAGTAGTATAAGCATGAAACTTAAAATATAAAGGTGAATATTTGGAAAAAAACAAACAAACAAACAAACAAAAAAAACAGCTTTACAAAAGTTGAAAGTGTTTGCCTCAGAACAGAAACCAGTTCTGGTGAAGGCTATGGCAGAAGACTGCCATTCATTGTAAGTCTTGCAAAGTCTTGCAATATTTTAAACATTTACACTATACATGCATATTAACTTTGATAAAGTAAAATTAAGATCTAGTGGGGAGCATTTGCTGCACAAACAATCCACATACTGACTACCCCTACAGTTTCAAACTTGTCAGATATATATAGTTAACCTATTTAAATAAAGTTAACAGGTTGAATGAGAAAAAGGCTTATCTAATTTGAACATAACTAATTTGGAATCTGAAAAGTAATAACTAATTATATGGCCTTTTCCAGTGAAAAACACCTTGAAAATTACAACTTAATATACATGCAAAATTTAGCAAATTTATCAAGGGCCATATAATTATTAAATATGGAAATTTTACCTTGTAAAAGTTTCCATATGACTTCCGAATATTGATCCACTTTTTAGCAAAAGAAGGATATTTGATCCTGCTGATTTGGCACTGAATGTTCAAGAATTTACTCATATCCCAAGAACTATAAATTAAAAGAGGAGAAAAAATGGATTAAATAAATGCTATACTATTTTACAAATGAGTATTTTAAATCATTTTTTATTTATATATGTAAACTTTCTCATATTCACACACGACATCAAGTTGAGAAAATTAACCTTGTTTCCTACAAAATATTAACTCAAAATTAAGCTTTAAAAACAAAAAAAAGAAGTCAAATATATTAATTTTTGTTCACTAATTACTATTAGGTTCATCTTGATTCTTATTATGGTTCTGGGCAGGCTCCTATCTTGCTGAATATTAACTGCTAAGCTTACTTTTAATGCCAGACTTATCGTAGTAAGTTCTTTGAGAGTGTGCTTTGAAATAAAACCAAAAACAAAAAATTGAAAGAGACAAAAGTAGCTGATATCGAATGGTTAAAATACAATCTGTTCTGCTACATGTTTCTATAACACTAATCAATTTATTGTAGTTAAGAAGGACAATATTAACTGTGTGATATGGAAACTGTGTTGGTTCATATGTGGTTTTTCTTAGGCAAGGAGAGTCAGATTAATAGCAGTAGAAATTATAACCTTCTGCAAGAAACCAAAAAAGCCCTCAACTCACCTGCTATACAGGTAACAGGATATAATCCTTTGTATTTTCTTATAATACTGTCAACTATACTATAAGAAAATTAAAAACAAGTGTATGTCCCCAGGATACCAGTGCCTCTGTGCAATTTTAATATCCATTGAGGCAACCTCACCTTCCCTTAGTTGCTTGCCTGGGCTGTCCAAATTATTTCTGGAGGCTCCAATGATTGTTTTTTGATAGTGCCCTAGTTACAAAATTACGTAGGTTGTGAATGATCTGTCCCAGAAAACAGGACTTTAACAGAACTGCATATACTATATTGTGGCAGAAACACCTGTATGCTTTAGCAGAACACTGCTCATTAGTGTTTAAAATCAATAACAGATTTCTAAAGAGGTCCATAAACATTTTCCAAACTTAACAATTATGATGTGCTTAAATTCAGTGCTCTTCTCCTATCATATGTGAGGATCTCTAAACCCTCTGTTGGTAACATCTCAAGTATAGAGGATAATCTGTACAGTTTGAAACAGAAGTTGTGTAGGACACTCTTTTCAACCTTAATGGCCTTATGGTATAGAAGATGCCCTGGCACAATGTCTGTAATCTGTGTTTTAATCTTTCTAACATTCCCATTTAACCAGTGCTTTTTGAGCATACACCTTAAGTTCAGCACTAAGGTAAATATTATGGAAGATTATCAGGCATCAAAAGTCCTTACTCTGAAAGAATTTTAAATTTCCTTGCAAAAGTAAGTCTTACATATGTAGATAAAGATTACATATCAGAATATATGGTCAGATGTCAACATGAATGGTACATATCATAGAAGCTGTAAGATCAATGGGGCTGTCAGGGTAAAACACAAAATGGGCTTTGAAAAATGATAAATTGTTGAGAAGAGACTCTCAGTAGAGAGGGAAGCATAAGTAAGTACACAGAGAAAGGACAAACCATGTGAATTCCTGGGCCAGTCTGACTAAAGAGGATTAATGGCAGGTGAATTAGATTAAACAGGTCGGGTGGGATGAGATGAAAGGGACTTCAATGCCAAGTTCAGGAATCTGGACTTTTTTGAGCAAGGAAGTGTCATGATAAAAAGTTTTAGGAAAGTCTTTTAGTGTTACATATTTATCTTTCTGTAGTGTTCTAGTCCTGAATTAGACTGTGACCACTGCTTTCCTCCTCTCTTTCATCCTTAGGTGAAAGGAAATATACTGTCCCCTGTGGAGTGAGACTCTAGGGTCTTTAATAATATTTTTGTGATTATTCTAAAAGTTAAATAAGGGTATCTTTAATCTTTAAAAGGTAGATATAAAAAATAATCTTCCTGAATACTTACCCATCTGTTAAAATTGAATATTTATACTTTGTTCCTAATTCCTTCAATTTCATCCAGTCAATTACTTTTTTTAGTACCTGAGGGAAGGTATCAGCTCTGTCTACCTGATCCTGAGGATATAAAAGTAAAATATATAAAAATCAGGGCTGTAGCTTCACGTAGCCCTACAAAATACCCAGACCTAACTTGGAGGGAAATGAACAGTATGAGAAAGGCTGATGCTTTAGATTCATGATTTCCTTGGCTTAGCTCCACCTAAAGTTTCATTTTTAAGAAATTTGAGAAGTTTTATAACCAAGCACTAGGGACTACTTTCAACTGAAATGTATAATCCTCCCAAAATTAAGATTGAAGATCATCCCCAGTGGTTTTCTTTTTACAGGCCTCAACCTAGTGGCTTGTTGGACTTCTAGAGAGGAAAAAAGAGAAATCTCCTTCTAAGCTGAAAGCCACAGCTACCTGTGTCTTTTCATCTCAGGTCTCACAGTTTTCCACACCATACTACCTACTGCTGCCAGATTGATCTTCCTAAACATAAATCTGGTCCACCCTATCACTCTCATACTTAAATCCTCCAACCACTCTCCACAGCTTTCAGCATAAACATATGCACGAGACTCTTCATGATCTGGATTGCCTCTGCCTATCTGGACCATTTTCTTACTAGCCCATACACATCTGAACCATCCTGAACTACCTGTAGTTCTGCCAGTTCACACCAGAAATGCCCAGCCATTCTTTTTTGCCTACCTACCTTTCATGACTCAGCCTAAGTTCATCAACTTGAGAATGTTTTTCCCAGGACAGTCTTTATTCCCTCTGTCATAAATGGAAGACCTTTTCATAGATGTCCATATAATCCAATAAAACACTGATTTATCAGTCCTAACCATTCTGTGACCACAAGACTGACATACATCTATATACACATAAAGATATATATAAATCTTGGCATATATTATAGTAGGGACTCAAATGCATGTGGAGTGAATGAATGAAGGAACTAAATAAATGAACAAAATGCCTACGACATTAGAATACAATAAAAAATCAGAGACCTAAAAATTCATGAAACAGGCTGGGTGTGGTGGCTTATGCCTGTAATCTCAGCACTTTGGGAGGCCAAGGCGGGCTTGAGGTCAGGAGTTCTTTAAGATCAGCTTGGCCAATAGGGTGAAACCTATCTCTACTAAAACAAAATTAGCCGGGCATGGTGGTGCATGCCTATAGTCTCAGCTACTTGGGAGGGTGAGCTAGGAGAATCATTTGAACCTGGGAGGTAGAGGTTGCAATGAGCCAAGATTGTGCCACTGCATTCCAGCCTGGGCAACAGAGTGAAACTATATCTCAAAAAAAAAAAAAAAAAAAAAAAATTAAAAATAAACGCAACATATAAAGTCAGGTTGTAAACAGATACATTCTAAAACTTATCTCTGGCCACATTTATAATCCCAGCACTTTGGGAGGCCAAGGCAGGCAGATCGCTTGAGGTCAGGAGTTCAAGACCAGTCTGGCCAACATGGCAAAACCTTATCTCTACTAAAAGGACAAAAATTAGCTGGGTGTGGTGGTACGCACCTGTGGTCCCAGCTATTTGGGAGATTGAGGCAAGACAATTGCTTGAGCCCAGGAGGCAGAGATTGCAGTGAGCCGAGATCACGCCACTGCATTCAAGCCTGGGTGACAGAGTGAGACTATCTCAAACAAACAAATAAATAAATCAAACAACCTTATCTCCAAGTTCAGTAATGTAACAATTCATTAATGCTTCATTTTACAAATGAAATCTTTAGATTCATCACTACAATTCCTTAAGAGGAAAGGCTGAGGAAAATGTTATCAGGCGTAAAATTTGCTGTGTTTTTAATTATTACAACATGAAAGATCTTTACCAAGCAAGATATTAATTTAAATTGTTCACAACAATAACAATTTTTTAAAACTATGTTGAAAATAAATCCCTAACTTCATAAACTCTTTCAAACTCTAGAAAGAAGTTGGAATTATAACCTGAGTAATTCCAGTGAGGCTGATGCAGAAATCAGACAGCCGTGTGTTAATCTCTGGTCTTACATACTGCTGAAATGTGTCTTCCTGTAAGGAAAGGACAGCAAGTTAAAGTTAATTTATATGACTTAAGATACACAATACATTATACTGACAAATTCAGTTACACCAGGTTATAATTTTATAGGATCTCATGGCATAAACCCTTCTACAGTTTTTAAGGATAATTCCCCACACCCAAAGCACTCTTAATGTTTAAATTAAAAAATCATTTGGTTCACAACTCAAAATAAAGATAAAGCAAGTGTGTGGAAAGTAAGACTTGAACCTAAAATTTAAATATTTTCCTGAGGAATAAAATATAATTTTGTTCATAATATTTTAAAACTACAAAGCCTATTAATGCAACCTCTACTTCAAGATACTAAGAGTTTTAAAAATAATGAATTCTTTTGGAGAAATGCCAGTCTTCAGTTATAATAAATTAGCTCTATTGTTCTCTCATTTACTCCTGAATAGTCCTTATTTTCATAGAAAAATCCAATTGAACTAAATTCTAAATAGTCAAAATTTAACTGTATAATACAGGTAATTTAAGAGCTGCAGCCAGGCACGGTGGTTCACACCTGTAATCCCAACACTTTGGGGGGGCTGAGGTGGGCGAATCATGAAGTTAGGAGTTCTATACAGCCTAGCCAACATAGTGAAACTCCATCTCTACTAAAAATGCAAACAACTAGACAGGGTATGGTGGTGAGTGCCTGCAATCCCAGCTACTCCAGATTTTAACCTTTTCAAGAAGCTTTCACAATAGTCTTATTTTATGTTTACAACTCTGTAAACTAAGTGAGGCCAGTATAGTTATCAGCCTACAATCTTCAAGTGCTTTTTCCTCTAGTCCAATAATGCCTCCCTAACCAGAACATACTAAGTCACATTTCAGAAATTAAGGACAATTTCAAAGCCTAAAGATTTAAAGGCAGCAACTATTAATCCTAGGAAGTAGATATAGAGAAAATGACAAAAAATATTCTTTATGACAGAAGATTTAAAAATTAAGTAGCATTTATACTTCCTAAGAATAAATTCTTTCTACACACTAATCTATTAAGTATATGAGCTATACTTAAAGAATTGTAAATGACCAACGGTAAAGAACAAAAAAGAACACTCGAGGTCAGGCACAGTGACTAACACCTGTAATCCAGCACTTTGGGAGGCCAAGGCGAGGGGACCACTTAAAGTCAGGAGTTTGAGACCAGCCTGGCCAACACGGTGAAATCTCATCTCTACTAAAAATACAAAAATCAGCCAGGCAAGGTGGCATATGTCTATACTCCCAGCTACTCAGAAGGTCAAGGTGGGATAATCGCTTGAACCCAGGAGGCAGAGGTTGCGGTGAGCTGCAATTGCACCACTACACTCCAGCCTGGGAGACAGAGCGAGACTCCATCTCAAAAAAAAATTGAATTTCAAAAGTTAGATACTCTTTACTTACCAGACATATTGCAGAAAAATTCCACTTAACTGAGTATCACAGATAAATTAAGTCTATATTCTTTTAAGTATCACTATTTTGTTTTATAATTTTAAATGAAATTCTTTCAAAAATATATTGTTTAAGGAAGGACTGAAAAGAAAAACGGATGGAAGGAGAGAAGGAGAAAAAGATCAGCCAGCAACACTTCTGGGTAAGAAAATTGGAGCTGAAGTCCTGGCATGTAATGGGATAAAGCGTGCCCGGCATTTTTGAGAATCAGCAAGCAAGTCAGTATGCCTGCAGAAGAATGAGTTAAGGAAAAGAATAGTAAGACAGGATCAATCAGAGGAAACAACAGGCCAGATCATATAAGGAATATGGGTTGTACTGTGAGTTAAATGAGACGCCATTGCAGGGTTTTGAGCAGAGGAGTGAAATGACCTGACTTACATTTTAAAAGAATTACTCTGGCCACTTTGTTGAGAACTGGTCGTAGGACATGGACAGAAACACAAAGACCAGTTAGATGGAGAATGTAGTAAATCACATAAACGATAGGGGCTCAGACTGAAGTCACAGTAGTTCAGTTAAGTGCCTGGGTTCTGGATCTACTCTGAAGGCAGAGCCAAACAGGAATCATTGATGGCCTGGATATGAGAGAAATAGGAGTCAAGAATGACTCCAAAGTTTTTGAACTGAGCAATTAGAGGGATTCCAACTGGAAAAAGCTTCCATCACCCAAGCTAAAGAAGGCTGAAGATAGAATGGGTTGGGGTAAGTTCAACAGGTTGAGCAATGCAATTAGAGACGTCAAGTAAGCAGTCTGGATTTGGAACAGAGGTACGGGTTGGAATTATGTATCTGAAAGTCACCAGTATAGAGAGAGCTTCTGAAAGCTATGGCACTGGGTGAGATCATCAAGCAAGAGGATGTAGGCAGAGAAGAGGAGCTAGGATTGAGACCTGGGTCATCTGATACAGGGAAGCTGGGAAGGAAAGGAGGAACCAGGAAAGAAAACTGCAAATGGGAAACCCAGTAGTGCTGGAGAAAAATCAAGCAGAAGAAGTGAGACCTGAAGAAAATGTTCCAAGGAAAGAGTATTAGAGCAGTGCAGTGTTTTTTTATTTTTTAAGTGAGAATGGCCAGGTGTGGTGGCTCAGGCCTGTAATCCTAGCGCTTGAGGAAGTCAAGGCAGGTGGATTGCCTGAGCTCAGGAGTTCAAAATCAGGCTGGACAACATGGTGAAACCCTGTCTCTACCAAAATACAAAAAATTAGCTGGGCATGGTGACACATGCCTGTAGTCCCAGCTACTCAGGAGGCTGAAGCATGAGAGTTGCTGGAACCTGGGAGGCGGAGGTTGTAGTGAGCTGGGTTTGTACCACTGCACTAGAGCCTAAGTGTAAGATTCTATCTTAAAAAAAAAAAAAAAAAGTCAGAATGGTCAATTTTGCCAGGATTTAGGGTAGAAGTCAAAGATGATGTTGATGAATGATTTTAGTGGAATGATGGGATTGAATACATAGCTTAAACTGAATTGAATTTAAACCCACAGTGGTATGAATTTAAGAGAGAATGGGAGAAAAGGAAAGACAAAAACATAAAAATTATAAGTACATATAACTTATGTGAAGAATCTTCCCAAAAAGAGGAACAAAGAAATGGGGTAGCTGGCAGTGCAGTAGGATGAAGTGAAGTTTTTTTTATGGTGTGAAAATAATGTTTGTGTGTAGTGGCAGCAATATAGCAGAAAGTAATAAATCATAATGTCCAAATCAGGGGGAATTGCTAGAGTAATGTCCCTCAGTAAGAGAGAAGACGTAAAATCTAGTGATGCAAAATTATCTGACTTCATAACTGTCATTTTTCCTTCTAATTTACTAACCATCAATCTGCTTTGGATGAGAAAATTATAGAAATAGACTAATTAAGACTGTAACTAAAAGAGATTGTGAACAGCATGAAGAATAACCTATGCATGTTAACTCACGGCCTTTTTATACTAACTCCCAAGTGGGCTGGTGGCAACTGAGGATATCACAGAAGTGACTTTTGGAGAGATGAGATGTTAGGATATTCTTGCTCAGATTTTGTAAGGCAAACAGTATTATTTTAGGGAATTCCTATGACTTCCTGAACAAACAATGCACTGACAAGTATCTAAAGCATACATATTATTTGGCTTAGAAACCAGGGTTATATAAGTCATTTCCCCCATAACCTCTCCACCAGAGAGAGATTCAAAAGTCATTTTTGTAAATTATCATTCTTAGAGATCACACTAGCCCACAGCAGTGGTTATCAAGCCTAACTGCATATTAAAACCAACAGAGAAGCTTAAAAAAAAAAAAAAAAAAAAAAAAAAAATGCTGATGTCAGGGACCCTATCATAGAACTAGCTAAATTAGAATCTCTGGGACTAGGGCCAGGCATCAGTATCATTAGTATGTTTTTTTATTTTTTTACTTACCAGGAGATTCTGATGTCCACACCCAGATGTTCTAAGCAAACGGAAAAAAAAATTTTAACTTTAGCTACTGCAAAAAGCAAGCAGTAGTCTCTAAAATTGCTTTATTATAGCTTTTCTATTAATCAAGCTGTATAAAGTTCACAGCAAAGAAAAAAGCTTACTTTAGAAGTCTAATTCTAGGTAAACAGCAAATGAGGTCTTCCACATTACCAGTAAACACCAGAATAGTTGCTGCTAGAAATACAATTAAAATATAAACATTCACTTACTATTTCTAAAGTATGCGTATTCAGTAAAACAACCGGAAATTCAATTATTTCATGTACAAACTCAGGTGGGTTTCCTTCTTCACAAGTGGCTTCAAAGTCAATAATACAAATGTAGTCATAGTAACTGTCAGCACAACTGCTCTCTTTCAACATCAGCTTCTGCTTCTTATAATAGTTTTTCAGTCTCTTCTTTAGTACATCCTTTACTCCTCTAAGTACAAGAAGAGTATTTACACTTAGGTAAATTTTATAGTCAAGAATCAAAACTCTTACCTGCACTGGGTTGAAACTGACAATCACTGCATAATTTAGCAAATACTAGCTAAAATCAGTGTAAGAAAAGCAAGACTCAAAGCTAAGTTAGCAAAGAACTAATTAAAATAACATGTTTATTATAACATTAACACTTTCCTTCGCAGTTAGTTTTTCATTTTAGTAGCATATAACAGCATTTTCTCCAACATATACTGGTATTTCAAACCATAAACATTGTCAGCATATACCACCAACACAGTCACATTGCCTTATATACTAAGATAACATATATGATACATTGAAATTAATATTAAATTATTCTACTGGCCAAATATAAACTTAAGAATATGAAAACTCATGTTGAAGAGATCATGTTATCTCTTTCCTTTCTTTTGACTTTTGTAGGTTAGTCAACTCAAAAGATTCATATGAATATGAAAGTGTTATGAGCCTAGCATATAAAGGTGAATGTCTGTTGGCTACTTAACTAGGACAACTAAATTAGAATACGCTTTAAGTAAACTATGTCCAGAGGAACATCATCATACTAGTAGGTTCTTAACTACAAGTAAGTTTCTAAATTTATCATGGGTAGAATATGATTTAGGGGATTTTAATACTACAGGTAGCTTTAAAATTTCACAGGCCAGGCACGTTGGCTCACTTTGGGAGACTGAGGCAGACAGATCACAAGGTCAGGAGTTCAAAAATTAGCCAGGCGTGGTGGCAGGCACCTCTAGTCCCAGCTGCTCAGGAGGATGAGGCAGGAGAATGGCTTGAACCCTGGAGGCGGAGGTTGCAGTGAGCCGAGACTGGGCCATTGCACTCCAGCCTCAGCAACAGAGTGAGACTCTGTCTCAAAGAAAAACACACACACACGCGCACACACACACACACACACACTCTCTCTCTCTCTCAACAAATGGAGTAATGGGGAGGAGAGAACAGCCCTCCTAATAGATAACAATGGTTGAACAGGTGATCTCATTCTTCAAACAGTATTTTTCCAAAAAATTAAGTCATAACCAGTGTTCAGACTTCTGTGTTATGTAAATGAATCCTATATGGCCTGCAATATGAAGTGGAAGTAAAAATAAGAGAATCTAAATTATAATTAATGTGTAGGGCTAAGTATCGTACTTTGGTCATATTAACAATTAATGGCTATTTTAAAAACTTTTTAAGTATTTTATTTTCCTTTCTAAACTACAATTAAGCATTGAAAAAAAAATCCTACCCATGAAAATATTAATAATCAACCAGTTAGCTATTTTAAGTCAAAATGTCTTAATGTTGTTTCTTTGCTTCAAGTTTTCCAAATTATCAAAACCTAGGGAGAAAGCTGCTTAACCCCTTTCATATAAAGGCACTGCGAATGACCTCTGTGTCATGTGACATCTTTGGATTACTTTAATTTTTGTTGTTGTTGTTGTTGTTGGCAGGGAGGTGTAGTGGTGGTGGGGTAACTACATTTACCGGAGTTGTCTGCAAAGCTAATGGCAGGACAAACGTAACTAGTTGCTCTGGATAGAACCTGTTATCTTTAACATCTCCTTTGCTCTACCAAATATGCAGCGTGTTTGCCAATTCCAACTCAGAAAAATATCCAGAATCTGGTTCTCCTTAATTCTTTCTGCTATGGCTTCCATAAGCTTCGTGGACTATGGCAAATGCCTCCACTACCAAAACCCTTCAATTCGTTCTTTACCTTACTTGAGAACTGAGCACGAATGCCAACTTCCTGCTTTAATATCTTTGGTGGCACCATTCTGCTTACAAGGTAAGATGCAGAGTTCCTTCACAACTTGGCTACAATCTATCATTTCAGTATCATTCTGAAATGTTCCTGAGATACATTGTGTAATGAAGACAAAATATGCTAATAAAGTCATGGTCTCCGCAGGCCAGATGGCTCACATTCATAATCTTTACACTTTGGGAGGTGAGTGGATTACTTGAGCTGGAGTTTGAGACCGGTCTGGGCAACATGCAGAAACGCTATCTCCACCAAAAATATGAAAATTAGTCAGGCGTGGTGGTGAATGCCTGTAATCCCAGCTACTCAGGAGGCTGAGGCAGACAAATCGCTTGAACCCAGAAGTCAGAGGTTGCAGTGAGCTAAGAACACACCACTGCACTCCAGCCTGGGGGCAGAGCAAGACTCTGTCTCAAAAAAAATAAAAAAAATTTAAAAGTCATGTTTTCAGTATGTGTAGTACACTTTGATGTCCTATAACTTTAGTTGCACAATAGCTGAAGAGAAGGGAAGATCATGTTGCAGAAACCATACAACTTACAAAAGTTTCTGTGTTTTTGTCTGAAATACCCTCCTTCCCTTTTCTGTCTGGCACATTTCAAATGCCATCTTTCTGAATTCCTGAGAAATACTCTCCTCTGTATTCTCATGCTGTACCGGGCCAGACCTGCAATATAGCTTTGGCCACTCCATATTGTGATGATTTCTGTATGTTTTCCCAAAAGACTGAGATTGCCAAAGTGGGGAACATATCTGTAGTTACCTTTATAACTTCAATGCCTAGTGCAGTACTTAGAATTCAGTACAGGCTTGTTGAATAAATGCATCAACATACATCTAGATCTCCAGCTCCCATGCAAGCCAGGAGTAAGCAACTAAACTTCACACCTGGGAAGGACAAAAATTTTGCTCAGAAAATCTTCTGCAGGTTTCAAGTTGTACCTTCATAACGGAAAAAATTGGGGAAATGGGAGTCAAAAATTTCTTCATAAATTATGATGTAGACAATCTAGAAAAAACAGCATTTGTGCTCTTTTGAAAAGTAGTGAAGCTCTATTTTAAAATAGACAAAGAATACTAATTATAAGAGAATTATGATTCAGGGATGTCTTGAAACAGTAAGAGTTACCACCTATTTCATACAGGCCATTTTTTTCTTGATGCCTGGCAGTTCTACTGTTTATAAAAAAAAATCTATGCACTTTTCTGGACTCCAAAAGCCATTCCTGTCCCATGGCCCAAATCAATGTAAAGTGATCTATTTTGCAAAAAAATTACTAAAAACTTAGGTATGTGTATATCTCATTGAAGTACACAGTTACTAAGTTTTCTCATTCAATATACAGTTAAACATAATGCACGCCATCATTGTAATTATTTTTTAGAAACTAAAACAAAACAAAAAAATATTCCTGGTAAGTGAACGATGTTTTTAAATTACTGTACCTGGTTTCAAACAAACTTTCTTTATAAAAAAAAAAAAAAAAAAAAAAAAAAAAAAAAAAAAAAAACAAAAGGGGCAAAAAAAAAAAAAAAAAAGAAAGAAAAACAATCTCACCAATATAACTATCCATCATGTAAATGAGCAACTGAAAAAATGAAAAACACACTTGTCATGAGATAGATACTCCTATACATTGCCAGTAGATCATTAAAACATTCACAGACTTTGATTCAGCAGTCGTATCATCTACAAGACGGACAGAAATAATCAGAGTTGCACATAAAAAACATAAATTACAGTTTTTTGAATTGTTAATAGGATCATGTCGTTGTGGTAGGATTACAGATGATTTTTAATATTTCAATGTTTTCAAGACTTTCTAAAATGAGTATGTACTACTTTTATAAGTTATTTTTAATTACCTGGTTTCAAGCTTGAATTCTGAAAGCTTAGCTCTGAGTTCTTCCTTACTCATTCTATTAATACAACCATTGGTAATGGCAATCTCTTTGTAAACTGGGTCACTGAAGTCACTCGCACTGGAGGTAATGAACTTGGATCCTTTTGTTTCTTGGCCATCAAATCTACACTGATTTTTCTATTAAAAAAAAAAAAAAGATATAGTTTATAAATAGTACAAACACCACAGACTTAAAGAATCAAACTTCTGAAGCCTCTTCATGCCACATGTTCCATGAAAAGTGCTCTCTGCAGTTCATGGAGGGAGGAAAAGATAGGAAGGAAGAAGTGTCTCCAGTACAATTTACCCTGCTCTATTCTGAGTCACAAGGTTTTCAAAGGAAACAAAGCTAAGTGAAAAGAGGACTGGTGTTGGGAGTCAACACCACCTCAATAGAGAGCCCCAGCTGACCATTTACTATAAATAGCAGCATGACCTTGGGTAGTTACGTACTGGCTTCTGATCTTCAATTTCCTTATCTGTAAAATGGTATTTGGTAATCGTAAATAGTGGTTGGGCAGAATTATTACAAAGATTAAATGAGATTATGTGTATTGGGCTCCTACACCCACAGTAGCTATTAATGGTAACTATTAATATCACAAGCTATACAACAAAGCCTTCACAAACAATATTCTAGTATTTACAAATGAACCTATTTGTAAATGAACCTTTATGTTATACATGTATAATGAATTCCTGAGAATTTTTAAACCTGACTTCATTTCATAATGTTAACATTGCCCAACATAAAAACAAGATGAACTGCAAATCTAATTCAAAGCTTCCTAGTACTTCAAAGCAAAGAAGGAAATGCATTTCATTTCGAAACTCACATTTTCCAAAAGTTATACTTATGTCAGCTATCCAGAAGAACTACAGAATCATAAATCTTTTCTCTTTTCGTAAATAAAAATCCGTTAAGAAAAAACATGACTCGATTCTATTTTCTCCACAGGTAGTCTCAAATTACTATTACGTTAAGTTCCAAAGACGCATTTATAAGTTAATTATTTTCCACATGCAATATCATAAATATTAACTATGTTCCAGAATTTTCAAAAATACTTGGTACTTACTATTAATCCCTATTAAAGCTTGTTACCTTAGTTAAAATTTACCACATTGTCCTCATGTAAACCTTAATTAAAGATCAAGGAAGGATAATCACAGAGAGGCCATAGTCCCTGACTTAGAACTAACTGATCCTGATGGTTCAGGAACTATTTCTTACTCTAAGCTCTCAATTTAATGCAATACACATTTACTGGAAAGGTTATGGTAGGTAAGGTGCCAGAGTACTCAAGAGTCACTCTCACCCATCTCCTTTTAGGAAGAGGTAAGCAGTTCCAATGTGTGAACTGTCCATAAATTAAAGAATAGCCACACTAAGGTTTCTTGTTAACAATGTTAAGAAAAAAAAAAAAAAAAACTAATAATTCGCTTTCAAAAATATATTACATTTACAGTAGATATCTCTCTACTTGATCACAATTTAATAAAAAATTATCTTTTGACTTTAAATTTACATTGAATTTTAAACTTCATCTTTAGGTTAAGATTTAGGTCAACATTAAGTAACAGTTCGTCTACCAAAACAGATGTCTTAATTAATTTAAGTAGATTTTCTCTTTGGGTAAATCCTCTTTCTGATTCACTTGTTAATTCTCATCCAAAACTGTAGCTACAAAAATTATTCCCAAGTAACACTTAGGCCTCGTCTATAGATGCTATAAATTACGACTTATATAAAGAAAAATTTGCTTCCTTTCCAAGGTCCAGTTCTAGATCTCTTCCCTTCTAGGGAACTTCTAGGGACAGCCAAGGTCCAAACCTCAGAAATCAGTGTCTCCTCCCAAATTTCACATCTACACTAATGGTTCACAAAGAAGGATGCTCACATCAATCCACTACGGAGTAGAAAGAAAATACTAAAAGCGGTACTTGTGTTGTTAATCTGCAGAAACACAAAATTAGTTTACGAAATACATACTTATATATGCATCAGCATCCACACCAGTATCTACGTCCATCTATCACGTGTCACATACAGTATTGACCATATATTGAAAAAAGTGACAGATTCCACAATATGGAGAGAAACATTCACCTTCGCAGAACCGTAATATTTTGCAATATTCACATGTCCAATTAAGTGGATGTATGGTTTATATTATCTCAAGAGAATCTTTTACATTACGGGATATGTCAATGAAAATCTTCTATACCAACAGAGGTTTATTACCTTGTGACAAAGTACTTATAAACTGTTGTTGAACTTAAAGATGAATTACATATATTCTTTTACAAAGACAGGTATTCTAAAATTGCTGTCCTCTTCTTATTGGGAGGGGGACTGGAGCTTGATTTTTAGCATTTTTTTAAAATGAATACAAACTGTTGTTGCAAGATAAAATACATTTTAACAGTAGCTAGAAGGTAACTGCTTGTCAAAAGAAACTTTTTCTGTATAAAGAACATTTTGAAAACAGGTGTTTTGGAGATGCGTCTACTATTTAGTTGCCAAAAGTCTAGGCACTACCTATTAAAAAAAGAAAAGGAAAACCCCTGCCTCTGCACACTGAAGAAAAAACTTAGAATTTTTCTTGATTGAGGTTCTTCCAAAAAGAGTTCTGATGAAATTTGAAACTACTCATTCAAAATATAAATATGCAATAGCTTCTATTAGCTTAGAAAAACAACTAGCATTAGAGATGATGAAAATTTACCACCTGAATTCAACAAAAAACTTTGCTTGACACTGAAAAAAACTGTATCATGGCAAGGCGTTGTGGCTCATGCCTGTAATCCCAGCACTTTGGGAGATTGAGGCAGGCAGATGACCTGAGGTCAGGAGTTCAAGACAAGCCTGGCCGACCTAAATACAAAAACACAAAAACAAGCGGGTCGTGGTGGTGGATTCCTGTAATCCCAGCTACTAGGGAGGCTGAGGCAGGAAAATAGCTTGAACCTGGGAGGCGGAGTTTGCAGTAAGCCAAGACCATACCATTGCACTCCAACCCGGGCAATAAGAACAAAACTCAGTCTCAAAAAACAAAACCAACCAACCAACCAAACAAAAAACCTGTATCAATACTATTATTTCCTTGAGACAAGGTCTCACTCTGTCACCTAGGTTGGAGTGCAGTGACATGACCACAGCTCACTGCAGCCTCCACCCACGGGCTCTGGTGATCCTCCCCACTCAACCTCCCTAGTAACTGGGACTATGGGCAAGTGCAACCACACCTGGCTACTTTTTACAAAAAAAGAATTTATTAGCCAGGCGTGGTGGCTCATGCCTATAATCCCAGAACTTTTGGAGGATGAGGCAGGTGTGTCAGGAGATCAGGACCATCCTGGTCAAAATGGTAAAGCCCTGTCTCTACTAAAAACACAAAAATTACCTGGGTGTGGTGGTGTGTGCCTGTAATCCTAGCTATTTGGGAGGCTGAGGCAGGAGAATCGCTTGAACCCAGGAAGCGGAGGTGGCAGTGAGCTGAGATCGCACCACTGCACTCCAGCCTGAAGACAGAGTGAGACTCCGTCTCACAATTTAAAAAAAAAAAAAAAAAAAAATCATTATTAAGAGCATGCAACAGTAAGTTTTTAACAATTACTACCGTCACTAAAGCCAATTTGGAACAGAGACCCAGGCCTTAAGTAGCTGTAAAAGTGTCAAGACTTTGAAATACAAAGAAGCATATTCAAATACACTTCTTTTATTAAAAGTAAACCTTGAAATTTATTTTAAAAACCACTCACACGATAAGATTGACACAATGTATCTCCGGTTGAAGCGGGAGGCAGGTGCAAGAGTGGTCTTTTTAAGAGAGGGCTGTGTAAGTACTCTTCGAAAGTTAACAATTATAGAAGGAGAAAGACAATTGCAAATATCTGAAGGAAGTACAAGCACGGCAAAAGGAACATAGAGACCCTTAACGAGAAAGACCTTCCTTCCAATGTAAAAGAACACGAGGAAGCAAGGGGCACTGAGAGCAAAAGCGAAAAACTGTGTGAGCTGCAATTAGCAACTGAGGCAGGCACCAGACCCTGCAGAGCAGCAAATAGAAGTTACTAAGGAGGGGAGTAAGCCAAACTCATGTTATTAAAAAGGTCATTCTCGCTGCCATATGGAAATTGATCGTGGACGTAAGGAACAAGAACTAAGGCACCTGCTGCAAATACCCACTTTATGAAGTGCTCAACATGTTTATTATTAGGAAAAAATCAATTTTAGTATTCAATCACTTACAATCCGCGGTGCTAGTCAACAATTACATTCGTTAAATAAGATGATAATAAGTTTCAAGACTGTTCTACAACTGCCACTGTAACTAGGTTCAACCAATGAGACGTCAAAATCATTCAATCAATCGTATACTATGTTTATATGAGAAAGCAGTAAATAAGCAAAAGAAGCAGAGACGATGCTCCACCTAAAAGATATAGAGAGAGCAATGAGGGAGGCTGGTGGGCGTTTAATTAAAAAAAGAAAGTTATGAAGTGACATACCTGGAGTACGTGGTGCGATTTAAAAATATAAAGCCTTGCAAATTACTCATAAGGGCTAGATGGAGTGACAACAGCAACCGTGAACATAGAATGTTTAGAGCAGAAATCCCACTTAGAACCTATTAACCCAGTGTTGACAGGACTCCTGATCTTGACGATTTCCTCCCACCCAGAAAGTGATTCGGCCCTGAGGGGGCTTCAAGACAACCATCCCAATCATGGAGGCAGGTGGTCCTGATCTCCTGACACACCTGCCTCGTCCTCCAAAAGGCTCGGGAGCTGGGCACGGGGGAAGCAGCTGGGCTTCAAGGGCGCGCAGCTGCACCTTCTGCGGGACACCGGGGAAGAAAGCGGTGCTGAAGGCGCTTGGAGTTCCCGGGCAGCGGGCGCCGACAACCGGGCCCGGGCCGCCTGCTCACCTCAGGACTGGGATGCGGCGACTCCTCCCCGCCCTCCAGCCGTGGCGATTCCTGCAGCGCGGGAGCCACGGCCTCGCCGCCAGCCTCTTTGCTCTGTGGATCCTCCATGCCTGCTGTCACGTCAGAAGAGAGCTGCTGAGGCAGGACCGTCGCTCACTCTCACCCGGTCAAGCCTGAAACCTTAGCCTTTCTCAGTTGAAAAATTACCGGGCTCGCGTTCCCGCGGCGGCGGCCACACAAACTCCGGCGGCCACCTCCTACTTCCGGGAGCGTGTGGCGTCCACACGCCGAGCAGGCGCAGTGAACGCGCGCGCGCGGAACGCCAGCGCCGCAGCCCACAGTGGGAGGGAGGAAGAGCCGGAGGAAGGCGCGCGGGGGAGAAGATGGGGCGTGACCGGTCGTGGGCGGAGCTAGTGCGGGTCGAAGTTGCGCGAGTCGCCAGAGGGTAGCACCAGAACGGATGATCACGTCAGCATTTCCTGAGAAGGAAAAAAGTAGGGCGAGTGGGGAGATACCATAGAGAAAGATGTTTTCAACCATAAAAAATAGCATGTATAAAACAATTCACGTTTTTCATAAGGAGTTTCCTAAAACTTCCACTGCTGGGCAAGAAAAGAAAATGGGTCTGGACTTAGTGTCCCGCTATAGACAGTTAGCAAACAGGAAAAAATATAGGACACAGCTCGTCAGACATTGGATAACAGACGGCTGTGGACTGTTTGAGAGAAGAGAATCAAAAGGAGCCCTATATCTCCCTGCCTTTTTGCCCGGAGGCCATTTCCAGTCTGTGGTGCCTAGAAAGAAAATCAAATGGAGACCTAGGATCTCCTCGGTTGAGAAGACAGGGATTGGAGTTGAGGAAATTGGGGTAGGTAGCCCAAGTGGGTTGGAATTTGTGGGGCAGAATTCTGGAGAGGAGGGAATTACATGGGAAAAGAGTTTCAGGAATCTGCTTAGGAATACCTTTGACTCTTTAACAATAAAAAAAGTAAAAGACCACAAGACCAGGAGGGAAGTATGATTAGGGAGCAGCAGTACACCAAACAGTGATCAGAGCTCACACAGAACTGGGAATTAAATAATGCCTAGCAACCAGAGTAAGGAGATCATTGAATACCATGGAACCTGCACTAGTAACCTCAGAAGTGAAACTGCCATTGCAAAATTATCATTGAGACAGTGAAAGTGATCGGACCTAACCAACTCCATCTTGCTTTTAACCTCCAAGCTATCTTTATTCATTCCTGGGTGTAGGCCAAACTAACATTGCGAGGAACTTAGTGTATAGCTTAGAGTTTAAAACAAAAGTGATAGCCCTCTTCTTGCCTGGGGGCTAGTCTGCTTTTGTAGGACTAACAAATTAGCCGAAAGATTAGAAATTTTGATTTAGGAGTCATGCAGCTGCAGGCTATAAGATTTTAACCCTCTCCAAATTGTTCCTGGGGATAATATCACTATGGTAAAACCTGTAAGGGTAATTGCCGAGTTTAAAATGAGGAAACTGAGGCCAGTATAAGAAAATTAAATGCCAATTTATTCAGCTCCCGGGCGAGGTTCTCTGGTCCGGGGAAACGGGGCCAGAGAAGTTGCGCTGACTTCTTAGGGCAGGGGGTTTTTATGGCTAGGAGGAACAAGCAACAGCTGGGTGCTCTGATTGGGTCCGGGGGAGCGGGATTGGGACTGGGAGGGCCGATATTGGTTGGCGGGTTGGCGGGCGGGTTTTCCGGTACAGGAGCCGGCCAGGGTTGCATTAGCCTTCCAGGGGAGCCATGCGCCGAGCTAGTTGCCGAGTGCAGAGTCAGGTGCTCAGTGCAGAGGTGGGTGTGTTCGGCCTCCCAGAGAGGGAACCAGCCTTACAAAACCTAAGACTGTGCTTGAGACATTTTGCAGGCCCTACACTTGACTCAGCTGGCACCACCCAGATTGATAAACTGGCTCACCTGATGTTGGGGCCACCCACCCAGGAACTGACTCAGCGCAAGAGGACAGCATCGACTTCCTATGATTTTATCTCCTGCCCAACCAATCATCACTCCCCACTCACTGGCTTCCCATCTACAAAATTATTAAAAACCCTGATCCCCAAATGCTCAGTGAGAATGATTTGAGTAATAAAACTCTGGTCTGCCACACTGCCCGCTCTGCATGAATTACTCTTTCTGTATTGCAATTCCCCTGTCTTGATAAATTGGCTCTGTTTAGGCACTGGGCAAGGTGAACCTCTTGGGCAGTTAGGAAAGTGTCATGCCTCAATGATATGGGATAGCCCTAGACAGCAGGACCCAGAGCATCAGCTACTGTAGAGTCTTCAAACGTTTAAAAACAAGCCCTGAAAGTATCAAACTACTCTGTAAGTAACCTAATTGCCTATAAGAACAAAGTCTGATACTCTGAAAGACCACGGTAAAATCTAGGATTCAGCAACATTAAATTCAAAATGTGAGACATCCAATCAAAAGAGACACGCAGCACTTGGGGAGGCTGAGACGGGAGGATTGCTTGAGCCCAGGAGTTTGAGGCTGCAGTGACCTATGATTGTACCACTGCACCCCAACCTGGGTGACAGGGTGAGACTCTGTCTCAAAAGAGAGAAAGACATACTAAGTGGTAAGAAAATATCTCATGAAGTTAGTAGAAATAAACCCCAAAATGACAAAAATGATGGAATTAACAGACAAGGATTTTAAACACCTGTTATGAATATGCTCAAAGATTTAAAGGAAGACATGATAGGAGAGAAACTGGAAAGATTTTTGAAAAGAAGCAAATCAAATTTCTGGAGAAAAAAAAATACTTGAAATAAAAATTTCTTTGGATGGGATTGCTAGCACATTAGGCTATGCAGAAAAAAGATTGATGAATTTAAAGACATAGCAACAGAAACAATGCAAAATGACACACATAGAGAAAAAAATGAATACAGCCTCAGTTACATATAGGACCAATTAAAAAGGCTTAATACTATTGAACAAAAGGTAGAAGCTGAGGCAAAATTAATATAAGTAGAGAGTTTCCTTGGTCCAAGCTTGAGGATTGCAACCCAGGAGCATAGATTGAAGTTGCCCTGAATCCATCTACTCAGAAGATATGCTAATTTGGAAGTTAAGTGAACACCTTGTAATGAATCATAATTGTTTCAAGCCTTACACATTCTAGATTATTTGCTTTGTTGAATAGGCAGTTGAAATAGGGCATAATTCCAATAAAAATAATATTTGATGGGGATAAGTACTCCTTCCTAACCATGCATACCTCCATCTCAGCTTCATTCTCAAGAAACAACTCTTTTGACTTTGTTTCTTTGATTTCTAGAACTAGTGCAGCAGCATCCAGAAATTTGACTTGCCATAAAGAAAAAGACCAAGAAGAAGGGAATCTAATAGAGAGGCTTTTGTCCTTGAAGCCTGTGATGAGCAGCTGTGCTGGGGAAATCCAAGAAGTCTCTCTGAGGAAATTAGATTGTGAGACACAGTTAAAGAATGTGCCTTCTGAAAAATCCTAGCTAGGTGAAAATAGTCAAAGTCAGTCAAAAAATAGTAAAAAAAAAAAAAAAAAAAAATCCAAGCTAGATGAAAATACCTAGGTAAAAATTACTATCATGCAGTAACTTTTTTTGTCTTTAGACTCTGGTTTGAACAACTAAAGGCTGAACAAAGTGAAACATGCATGAAAAAATCAACTTAAAAGGAAGAAGCTTAGGCAAAATTAATACAAATAGAGAATTTGTTTGGGCCAAACTTGAGGATTGCAACTGTAGATTCAAGTTGCCCTGAGTATACTCAGATTAGTAGCAGCTGCAAGTGAATTTTTATAGGAAAGAAGAGGCAGTTCCTGGGTTGCTTATCAAGAATTTACTGTAATGCCAGGCATGGTGGCTCACGCCTGTAATCCTAGCACTTTGGGAGACTGAGGCGGGAGGATCACTAGAGGCCAGGAGTTCAAGACCAGCCTGGCCAACATGGTGAAACTCCACCTCTACTAAAAATACAGAAATTAGCTGGCATAGTGGCACATGTCTGTAATCCCAGCTACTCGTGAGACAGGCTCAACAGTCACTTGAACCTGGGAGGCAGAGGTTGCAGTAAGCAGAGACTGCACCACTGCACTGTAGCCTGGGTGACAGAGTGAGAGTCCATCTCAGAAGAAAAAGAAGAAAGAACACCAAAAACAAAAAAAGAAAAGAAAAAAATGAAAAGAAAATATAAAAATAAAAACTTAAAAGATATATCATCCATCGAAGTTCATTTTGCACATTTTTGTGTCTTTGTTTAAATAAACATGCTTAAGCCTATATGTTAAAAGTTTCAGATCTGTTTTGAAATTGAGTGGAAGAAACTCAATTTTTGGGGCATAAAAAAGAAAATGGACTTTCTAGTATGAAGAATTCTAGATGTTTTTTATCATTTGAATTATAAATGATTAATTTGAGGCTTATCATAATTCAACTGACTCAGATTGAGAAATAAAAAGGTAAAGCAGGCCGGGCTTAGTGGCTCACACTTGTAATCCCAGCACTTTGGGAAGTTGAGGTAGGTGGATCACCTGAGGTCAGGAGTTCGAGACCAGTCTGGCCAACATAGTGAAACCCCATCTCCACTAACAACACAAAAATTAGCCAGGTGTGGTGGGACATGCCTGTAACCCCAGCTACATGGGAGGCTGAGGCAGGATAATGGCTGAAACCCCGGGGATGGAGGTTACAGTAGGCCGAGATTGCACCACTGCACTCCAGCCTGGGTGAACTGGGCGACCTGGGCGACAGAGTGAGACTCTCAATTAAAAAAAAAAAAAGCAAGCAAACATTAGAAAGAGATTCATTTGAAGATACATATAATTTCTATTTGTGTGCTTGTTCAGCTTCCTAACGTCTTCTGTTGTATCAGAAACTGAAAGTTATTTTGGAAAAATTTTACAATTTTTCTGGTTGCAAAAGTCATGCATATTCAGCTGAAAAAATTAAGAAAATGAGAGATGTTTTCCATCAATCTTTTAACAGCAACAGAACCACATTATCAGGCTGTGAAAGAAGTTAGTTTCTTGAAATGCCACCAGAGGGTGCTCAAACCAAACATCGCTCTATGTGAAGTGCAGGAAACAGGCTCCTATGCTGTTGGAGGAGCTCATCAGCTTTGTTTTAGTTTAGTTTGACAATAAGGAGAAATTAAAAATTCCTAGTCAGTATAGCATGTATTTGAATGTGTCCAATTTTTTAAAAGATTCAGCACTATTCTTTTTGGAGCCTAATTATACATTCCTGTAGATAGCAAACATTTATTGAATACTTGGTGTATTGTGATGGGTGCTATTGATAAAATTAGAGTAAAACTTGATCCTGGTTGTGCGGTGATCCTGGCTGTGCAGTGACTCACGCTTGTAATCCCAGCACTTTGGGAGGCCGAGGCAGTCAGGACACCTGAAGTGAGAAGATCGAGACTATCCTGGCTAACATGGTGAAATCCCATCTCTACTAAAAATACAAAAAAATAGCCGGGCGTGGTGATGGGCATCTGTAGTCCCAATTACTCAGGAGACTGAGGCAGGAGAATCGCTTGAACCGGGAAGGCGGAGGTTGCATTGAACCAAGATCACTCCACTGCACTCCAGCCTGGGCGACAAAGCAAGACTCCATCTCAAAAAAAAAAAAAAAAAAAAAAAACTTGATCTGACATTTTAGGATTCATATTTTCTCTGGGGAAAAAGGCATATGTAAACAAATTGATTAGAATCCAATGTGTTGTGCACCACACTAAAAATCTTTTGAAGGACAGGATTAAATTCTGCTAAAGGCAGATGAGTCAAGAGTGCTTTCCAGAGGAACTGGACCTTACGAAAGTAGGCATTTTTGGACTTCCAGGTTAATGGCAATGGATTGAACATGTTCATTTAATCTCTCTTGAATCCACCCAAAAAGGAGTTGTTTTGTTTTAAGACCTAAACCCACAAGGACTAAAAGAATAGGAAAGGAGACAAGAGCTATGACATTTTGGAAGCTGCAAAACCAGTGGATCACTGTTAACTGATTTAACAAATATGTTTCCCGTAACAAAATGAGAAAACAAAATCCCAAACTGCCGGTGAGAATGCTGAGAACCAACCACATATACACCACAAAATCCTCAAAGATAAAATTCCCGGGGAGCTAATATAAGGACAACCAAGATGAAAGCTGTTTGGGAAAAAATTAGAGTTCTAGACCCTTCCTCACTCTGGCAGAAGTTTAAATGTTTATTCTCACCAAAGGGGATTAAAAGGTCATCCTCCAAGCCTCTCCCCCCAACCTGGCCCTCAGCAAGCAGCAGCTAGAACTTTACCCTCTAGGTGGAAGATTGAGACTCCTGCCTGAGGCAATCTGGCACCCACAAAGAAAGTACTTGAAAATGATGACACCAAGTGTTCTCCATCAGCACCCTTCCCATCTCTCTATAGTGAAACTTACAAGCCTAGAGTTTTTAATATGGTTTTTGTTTTGTTTTGTTTTTTAGAAACAAGGTCTTACTCTGTCACCCAGGCTGGAATGCAGTGATGTGATCATAGCTCAACGCAGTCTCAAAATACTGGACTCAAGAGATTGTCCTGCCTTGGCCTCCCAAACTGTTAATATTATAGGCATAAGCCACCATGCCCAGCCCCTAATACATTTTTAAATTTTCCAGTCTTAGTTTTGAGCAGACCACCAAGGATTACTATATATTTGATGAAAGTCTATTATATAAAAGGTAGAGAGAAAAAGAAACAAGCGCAAAAAAGCCACTTAGAGGAAACAGAAATTATTCAAGACTTAAAAGCAACGCTATAGGCTGGGCACTGTGGCTCACGCCTGTAATCCCAGCACTTTAGGAGGCCGAGGAGGGTGGATCACGAGGTCAAGCATTCAAGACCAGCCTGGCTAACATGGTGAAACCCCATCTCTACTAAAAATGCAAAAAATTAGCCAGGCATGGTGGTGGGCATCTGTAATCCCAGCTACTCAGGAGGCTGAGGCAGGAGAATTACTTCAACTTGGGAGGTGGAGGTTGCAGTAAGCGGACATCATGCCACTGCACTCCAGCCCAGGCAACAGTGCGAGACTCCATCTCAAAAAAAAAAAAAAAGAAAAAGAAAAAAGAAAAGCAACAGCTATAATCATATTCTCAGAGAGAAATAAGGGAATAAGAGGGAATATCACATCTGTGAAACAGTAACAAAGCCTATGAAAATGGAAGATTTAAGAAAAATAAAAAAAGAGTAGTTGGAAATTAAAAATGTAATGGCAGAAAACAAATACTTGGCACTGTTCAATGTGGTATCCATTAGCCACTGTGCTTAAATTTACATTACTTGAAATAAATAAAATTAAACATTCAACTTCTCATTTGCAGTAGTCACATTTTAAATGCTCAAAAGTCCTATGTGGCTAGTGGCTAAGGTATTGGACAGCATAAAGAACATTTCCATCAATTCAGAAAGTTTCATGATAGAAGTTTAGAAGATAAATTGGAGGAATTCTCTTATTAGAACAAGAAGACAAAGAAATAGAATGAGGCTGGGCACAGTGGCCCCTGTCTGTCATCCCAGCACTTTGGGAGGCCAAGGCAGGCAGATTAAGTTCAGGAATTCAAGACCAGTCGGGCAATGTGGCAAAACCCTGTCCCTACAAAAGATACAAAAATTAGCCAGGCATGGTGACACATGCTTATAGTCCCAGCTACTCAGGAGGATGAGGCAGGAGAATCGCTTGAACCTGGGAGGCAGAGGCTGCAGTGAACTGAGATCACACCACTACACTCCAGCATGGGTGACAAAGCAAAACCCTGTCTCAAAAAAAAAAAAAAAAAAAAGATCAAACAGTTGAATAATAGGAATTCTAGAAAGAACAAGATGGAGGGAAGAAAATAATCAATGAAATAATTCAATAAAAATTTTTGGAATGAAAAAATCCCTCCTCAGTAGCTGGGATTAGGTGGGTGCCACCACTGTCAGCTATTTTTTTTTTTTTTAATTTTTAATAAAACGGGGTTTCGCCATGTTGGCCAGGCTGGTCTTGAACTCCTGACCTCAAATCGTCCATCCACCTCAGTCTCCTAAAGTGCTGGGATTATAGGCATGAGCCACCACACCTGGCCTATTGAAGAATAATATCTGAAAACCAGTAGACTCATTGCTACAGTAGGGTCGCTGCTTATGAGACCTCTCATGAACAGAGATGGAAGATACACACATGCACATACCCTGTATAACTATTTCAATCTTATCTATCTTTGTCTATATACACTGGGAGTTTACACTGATATCATCAGTTTCAATTCAACACCTCAAGGCTTTTCTCAGCCTTTTATATTTGTAATCTCTTCCTCCACAGTAAAATATCTGCCTGTAAGTATTCTCAGTATAGTTATTTACTTGCATATTTCAATATTCCTATCATTTTATCTCAGTCTGCACTGTCCCTGCTCTCTCCTTGCACAGCTATCTTATTTCAGTTTAAATCTCTGCAGGATCTGTGACTTGTTATGTTTATTGAGAGAAAATAACCTTCTCAAAATATCCAGAGGATGCTCAGCTGTTAAAAACTTAATTCTTGGCTGGGCATGGAGGATGTGAAGGCTCATGCCTATAATCCCAGCACTTTTGGAGGCCAAAGTGGGTGCATCACTTGAAGCCAGGAGTTCAAG